ATGACTTTCAAGGAGATGGCCCGACTGCCTGCGGAGCCTGTGGGGCCACAGGCGCCGCTTGTAGCTGCGGCTCGTGTTGAGCAGGAGATTGGTTCCGATCGATCGTTTTGGCTGTTGATTCATTGTTGAATGGGAAGATAAGTAGGAGTTCACCATCATTGATACACGAACATACCGGCTATACCCAGCGATTCAGAATATTCCATGATTTACCGTCATCATATACCATTATCATCTATTATCACCCCATGTTTGTTGGTTTTATCATCCCCATATTGGAAAGAGGAGTGTTGGTTCATTTACTGTACCATCGTATACCCAACAAATTGCTGATGGGCTGAACCACCGAAGATTGCCAGGAGGTGGCCCGACTGGCCGCGGAACCAATGGCGACACCGCGAAGAGTGGAGCAGGAGATCGGTGGGTTTCTTGCAAGAGGAAGGGTTGCTATTTGAACAAGCAAAACAGGGGTACTCAATGGCCATTTCAGGAACCTAAATTGGAGGTACCCTAAAAATCAGCCAGTCATGTAGGTAAATATACCATACATGGAATATACGGAATATTAAACAACGGGATCCTGTTCTTTATCCATTGAACAATGGGATTGTGGTATTCACCCTTTATTTGCGTTTGTGTGAAACATAGTTTCGAACATGATAGGGAAAGACTCCAACATCCAGGCGTTGAGGAATACAAGTGTTCCTTGTGAAAACTGTCGGAAATCCGCATATAAACGCCATTCTTGGACGATCCTGTATACCTTGCAATATTGTAAAACCAAAATGGCCATGTGGATTTACGAAATAGACATCATGGCTGGCAACTCATAGCCCATAGCTAATTGGCATAACTTCTTGGTTCAGCCAAGCATGTTTTTGCCCTCAAGTGATGAAATTTACCCGCGCATGAACATTCATCTCCTCACTGAAGCGTGAGACTTGACGAGCCTAAAATCGCAAACAGCGACTAATACTCTAATTACTCTTGCAAAAGATGTTGTGTGTCAAGAAACATATGCTGATAAAACGCCAAATCACATGGTGTTTATAGTTCGTCACTTGGCAGTTTATCCCAATACTTTTGGTTTCGAAGACTTGCCAATGAGTATTGGTCGGATATTGCAAAACCCACCACAACCAGAATTTAAAGACATGGCAAGCGGGAATTCCCTCGCTATTTTATAGCATTTTCAAGCACTTCCTAAGCAGTCATTCGTTGCTCATGTGGTTGAAATCCAGCAGCATGATGTTTGTTCTTTCACCATGACGGGCCTAAGGAAACGTTAACAGAAAGCTATTGCATTGGAAGGGGTCCCCAATAGTTATACAGCAACCCCCCCACGAGATGCATAAGAGTAAAGGATCTTACTTTCATTTTCCCCATGAAGATTGCCATCCAGCGCGGGTAAACCCATAATCTGTTGGTGCTTACGCTATCGCTGTGATGACTTTCAAGGAGATGGCCCGACTGCCTGCGGAGCCTGTGGGGCCACAGGCGCCGCTTGTGGCTGCGGCTCGTGTTGAGCAGGAGATTGGTTCCGATCGATCGTTTTGGCTGTTGATTCGTTGTTGAATGGGAAGGTAAGTAGGAGTTCACCATCATTGATACACGAACACACCGGCTATACCCAGCGATTCAGAATATTCCATGATTTACCCTCATCATATACCATTATCATCCATTATCACCCCATGTTTGTTGGTTTTATCATCCCCACATTGGGAAGAATAGTGCTGGTTCATTTACTGTACCATCGTATACCCAACAAATTGTTGCAAATGATGGGCTGAACCACCGAAGATTGCCAGGAGGTGGCCCGACTGGCCGCGGAACCAATGGCGACACCGCGAAGAGTGGAGCAGGAGATCGGTGACTTTCTTGCGAGAGGAAGGATTGCTATTTGAACGAGCAAAACAGGGGTACTGTAAGAAACCAACCGGATATTAAACAATGGGATACATAATGTAGTGGCTGCTAACCCCTATTGCTTTCCTGCCAAATGGGGAGTTAACTCCCTTAACCGTCATTGATAACCCAACAACACTGGCTATTCGCAGCGATTTCGAGTGTAGAATATCGAATGTTTTGCCATCACATACCATTACCCAAATGCTCCATGGTGCTGGAATATTTACCAACATTTTCCCTAAAAATCAGCCAGTCATGTAGGTAAATATACCATACATGGAACATATGGGTTATAACTCTATGTTGGTTGGGTTTATGGTGTTTTATCCCCGCTGGTTTCCTTTCGGGCCACGCCTACTTATCCACGCCAGGAGAGAAGGCCATATACGCCGCTCAAGCAAATGGACAAGGCCGAAAGCGATTGTAGCGACGGAAAAATTGGGTTGGTCTGAAAATGGTATGCAAAAATGTTGGTTGTTCACCATGAAACACCAGGGGCTTAGGGGAAAAGTGGGGTAAAAAACACAGCATTGTACTGGATTTTCCATGGGAAAAATGTTGGGATTCGATGAGGTTAACCAACAAACGTGAGCTCCTGCCAACCATAGAGGGAATATATGGTGGGATGAATTGGGGGTAAGCCAATTGCAATATAGTGATATAGAACCGTCGATATAATGTGTGAGCGCGCGCGCGCGTGTGTGTGTATATATATGTATGCATGTATGTATGGTATGGTATGGTATGGAATGGAATGGAATGGAATGTAATGTAATGTAATGTAATGATTGTGTTTAACCTGTTTTAACGAACAGGACTGTCCCTGCGCTTTTCAAGTTGCAGGGGCATGTGACACTCATATCCTGATAACGTGCAACAAGGCTGTGGACATGAGTGGAAAGGGACGAGAAAGCCGCCGTTAAGTTTTCTGGAGCCGGTGCTTCGAGCAGAGGTCCCCTTCAGGATCATACATTCCGTACGGCATCCGGGCTAAGCCAAAAACCCGGCATGCCACCACATTCAATTCTTCCTTTTTCAGGTGTGACGATGGATCATTAACTTCTTGACTAATAAGGACACAATAACCCGGCCAAGGTCTATCAACAGTTGCCCCACATTCCACCCAATCTGCAGGGTGTTTTCGGCATTGGAGCTCAGTTCGTCACGCCGTCGACCAGCATTTTCCCGGATTCGGAAGAAGATATGGATTTTCGTATTCCCGAAGCCGTCTATATGTTGAAGCAATCAAACATAGTGAAACCACATGGAGTGATTCCACTTCACGTGGAAGACTCAACCAGCAACCATAAGGTGACGCCAGAGAGCGCTTTGTTGCAACAAACCAGGGTAAAACCATTGCATTTTGTAAGGGTTGCTTTTCGGTTGTGAAGTGTGCTTTGCAGTGCAAAGATGCGTGCACAACCTTTGCTACTAGTAGATACAAAACGCTTGCGCAGGTGCACCTGGGCAATTTCAACCCAGATCCCTCAGCGGGAAACCCCTTTGTACATTTTGTGGTGTGTGTATTTTTGTTTTCTTCCTAAAACCCTTTGAACAACCATTGAAAATCATTGAAACCGTTCAAACATCATTGGAAATTCCACTAATATTCTTGTAAAAACTGTTTGACATCCTAGAAACCTCATCAAACCTCGCCGTCTCAGGGCACCAGCACCTCCCCACCCTCAGTGGATGGCGGCACCACGCCGCCCATCTCTCTCACGGATGCATCGCGGCAGGCCGCACTTTTTCGCTGCACCCGGTGGTATAGAAGTGGGGGATTCAAGCGACAAATGGATGAGTGTGTGTGGGTATGGGCTACAACTGAAGACCCAGGCAATTTTAGATTCATATTTGTTCTTGCCCATCTATCCGCCAAAAACAGGGAATGATGATCTCCAAATTGACGAATCCAGTCGTGATATTTTTTTGGGGGATGGTCAATATGGTCAATAACCAACCTGCCGCAGAATTGGATCATGTGAAAACTTACGGTTGGTTTTCCCCATTTTAGGTCCTAGGCTTCAAGGACCTCCTAGGGTCCTTGACATGGCGAAAGCGCTCAAATGTTCCGTATGAAAATCTGGCGCCAGGGCGATGATCTACTTTCCACCTGGGATCAACCGCGACAGGACGGCGGGACGGCTGGCAGGTTGGAAGGGTTCGGTCCAGGAAGCACTGGATTCAAATCAAGAAGAATAACATTGGGATAAGTTTGGGCTAACTTGGGGGGAAGATTTGGATACCCTCTGGTAATGGAAGCCATGGCCCATTGAAATAGTTGATTTACCTATTCAAAACGGTGATTTTCCAGTTCGCTATATTGAATTACCAGAGGGTATCTAACTCTTGAAATCTTGGGGACAACTTCTGGATCGATCGTCTTGCAAGTGGGACAAGGATAAGATGATAAGCAAGGAGCAAAAGTGTTTGCACAAGTAGTTGTGTATCAAGAACCACGTGATGATACAACGCCAAAACACATGGTGTTTGTAGTTGGTCAGTCGGTAGTTTTTCCAAATATGTTCGATGTCAATGGGCTAATTGTATCTAATTGTGTCACTTGTCAATCAATACGGGTCTGATATAGCAATCCACCATTTATATACTTTTTGGTATTTCAACATAGCTATGGAAAATCACCATATTTAATGGGAAAAACACTATAAATGGTCATTTTCAATAGCTATGTTAAATTACCAGAGGGTATATGCATATCGATGATTTTCCCATTAAACCCCGTTTTTTTTATTGGATTCTCAACTGCCACAGTTGATTAGAGGGTAGGGTAGGGAAACAAACTGACAACCAGAATTTTAAAGAAATCCATCTAATCATCTTTGAGGCGGGAATCCTTGGGCAGATCATAGATCTCTCCAAGCACTTTTGCCCAGATCATTCGTTGATTTGGTGGCGCATGTCTTTGTATTTCTCATTTTTGGCTGATGGTTTCGCATAGTTTTAACATGTTTTAACCGTTAAAAACCCGTTCCATGTTTTCATGAAAACTCCAATATGACGTCCCTACTTTCCGTGGTTGTATTGTTGGTTCAGATGGGTTCGTCTGAACATAGGTTGCCTTCAAAACCAATGAATAAATATCATGTTCGCCATTGAATTGCCATGTGGGGTCAATCCATAATGCTGTATATATGTGTCATATATACGTCAAAAATATTTTATGATTTACCATCATATACCATTAAAACCCCATGTTTATTTGGTCATGATGTATTCCCATATCGGGAAGAGTATTGTCCATATGTCACCATATACCTAACAATTTACTGCTGGGCTGAAAGACTGCGATTTCCAGGAGGTAGCCCGACTGGCGGCGGAACCAATGGCGCCGCCCAGAAGGGTGCAGGAGATCAGCAGAGTTGCTATTTGAATGGGCAAAATATGGGTATTCCAAGAAACCAACGGGATATTAAACAACGGGATCCTGTTCTTTATCCATTGAACAATGGGATTGGGATATTCACCCTTTGTTTGGGTTTGTGTGAAAAATAGATTCGAACATGGTGGGGAAAGACTCCAACATCCAGGTGTTGAGGAAATCAATTGCTCCTTATGAAAACTGTCGGATATTTTCACGCGATGCTTGGACGATCTTATATACCCTCTGGTAATTTAACATAGCGAACTGGAAGATGGCCCATTGAAATAGTTGATTTGCCCATTAAAAATTGTGATTTTTCAGTTCGCTATGTTAGTCATTACCAGAGGGTACATGTGCTATTCATGGTAAAACAGAGGTTTGACCATGGGAATTTAGGACAACAACATCGGTGGCAAGTCATGGCGTTTTTTGTCGCTGGGAATAAATTCTTAGTTGAGGCAAGCGTGTCTTTACACAGGGATGAAATAACCCGCGAACATTCATCTCATAGTCAATGAAGTTTGAGACTTGACGGGCCTAACATCGTAAACAGAAACTAATACTCGACTCTTGCAAAACAGGTTGTGTGTGTCAAGAAACACATGGTGATACAATGCCAAATCAAATGTTGTTTATAGTTGGTCAGTTGGTAGTTTATCCCGTCCCAATACTTTTGATGTCAAAGAGCTCATTTGTCACTTGCCAATGAACACGGGTCGGATATAGCCAGAAAAAAAGGCAACCGCAGTTAAAGCACCATAACTGCATGTAGCAAGCCGGCATTCATTCGCTATGTCCGCAAGGGCCTCTTCAAGCACTTCATAAGCCCAAGTCATATGGCACATGTCCAAGACGTAGAACAACCATGAACAACCCCTTTTTGCATTTCACATGTGACTCTTGGATTCACATATTTGCCTTTTGCAGACATCGATGCTTCAAACAAAGCCAATTCGATATTCCTACTTTCGTTGGTTGAAACCCATCAGCAGAATCTTGGTTTATGTACTGGATGGGGTCAGCGAGCTATAATTAGGTTTCTATTCGGTGTCTATTTCACCACCTGTAGATATACTCAAAATTATACTTGGATATCTCACCGCATTGTTTTTTTGGGTTGTATATTAAACTCTGGTGAATCATATAATTGGGTATGACCCTTTAACCATCAAACACAGGGGTGTCATAATAGTTTCTGTATATACATGAAATGGGATAAACCTATGTAATCCTCATTGTTTTTAATTGTAGGGTTAGTCCAAGATATTGGAAACTATGGGGATATGGATTTTTATCAGATGATTTAAAATGGGAAATCATGGGACAAAGTGGGGAATTTTCCTGGATTTTGCGGTACTCCATTCTTGGACACAGCCGACAACCTTTACAGTACAGGACTAAGACAGGCCATAGATGAAAAATCAAGCAGAGTTGAAGACCTTACGGCTACACTCTTTTCGTGGTGCGTGTGTAAATTTCGACCAATGTCCGGTGCACAACATGGCTACTTAAATCCATCATCTGCTGACAAAGGTGCAGTAGATGAAGCTGATAAGATCGAGCTTCAGGTGCTGTGCTTGACTGGGGAAGCAGTGACACTGACCGTGAGTCGCTCCATGCTTGGGTATGACCTGCGCAGGTTGGTGTCAAAGAATCTTTCATGCAAGGCAGGCGCAAAGCTCGTCGTGCATAGTGTGAATAGAAAACTGACACTGGATGAAAACTTGGAAGACCAAGGGGTTGTTGGAAAAACCGCAATGCTGTCCTGCACTTACATACCAACTAATGTGTATACAGCATGGCGTTATGCCTGTGGACTCCCAACTTGTGAGAGAGAGTTTGAGCTTGAAGGCGTTACACATCTTGAAGGAGCAACGCACGGAGAGTACTTACAACATCTCCCCTGCAGCCTTGCAAAGCTGACTTTTGGCGAGGATTTCAACCACAGCCTGGAGCAGGTGACCTTGCCATCGAGTCTTAAAAGCTTGAGTTTTCAACCAAAGCCTGGAGCGGGTGACCTTGCCATCGAGTCTTCAAAGCTTGAGTTTTGGCGAGTGTTTCAACCAAAGCCTGGAGCGGGTGACCTTGCCATCGAGCCTTCAATTATTGAGTTTTGGCTATTTGTTCGACCAAAGCCTGGAGCGGGTGACCTTGCCATCGAGTCTTCAAAGCTTGAGTTTTGGCTTTCATTTCGACCAAAGCCTGGAGCGGGTGACCTTGCCATCGAGTCTTCAAAGCTTGAGTTTTGGCGAGTGTTTCAACCGAAGCCTGGAACGGGTGACCTTGCCATCGAGTCTTCAAAGCTTGAGTTTTGGCTTTCATTTCGACCAAAGCCTGGAGCGGGTGACCTTGCCATCGAGTCTTCAAAGCTTGAGTTTTGGCTTTCATTTCGACCAAAGCCTGGAGCGGGTGACCTTGCCATCGAGTCTTCAAAGCTTGAGTTTTTGCGAGTGTTTCAACCAAAGCCTGGAGCGAGTGACCTTGCCATCGACTCTTCAAAGCTTGAGTTTTGGCAGGAATTTCGACCAAAGCCTGGAGCGGGTGACCTTGCCATCGAGTCTTCAAAGCTTGAGTTTTGGCTTTCATTTCGACCAAAGCCTGGAGCGAGTGACCTTGCCATCGACTCTTCAAAGCTTGAGTTTTGGCAGGTGTTTCGACCAAAGCCTGGAGCGAGTGACCTTGCCATCGACTCTTCAAAGCTTGAGTTTTGGCAGGAATTTCGACCAAAGCCTGGAGCGGGTGACCTTGCCATCGAGTCTTCAAAGCTTGAGTTTTGGCTTTCATTTCGACCAAAGCCTGGAGCGAGTGACTTTGCCATCGACTCTTCAAAGCTTGTGTTTTGGCTTTCATTTTAACGAAAGCCTGGAGCGGGTGACCTTGCCACCGACTCTTCAAAGCTTGAGTTTTGGCAGGGATTTCGACCAAAGCCTGGAGCGGGTGACCTTGCCATCGAGTCTTCAAAGCTTGAGTTTTGGCTTTCATTTCGACCAAAGCCTGGAGCGGGTGACCTTGCCATCGAGTCTTCAAAGCTTGAGTTTTGGCGAGTGTTTCAACCGAAGCCTGGAGCGGGTGACCTTGCCATCGAGTCTTCAAAGCTTGAGTTTTGGCTTTCATTTCGACCAAAGCCTGGAGCGGGTGACTTTGCCATTGAGTCTTCAAAGCTTGAGTCTTGGCAAGTGTTTCAACCGAAGCCTGGAGCGGGTGACCTTGCCATCGAGCCTTCAAAGATTGAGTTTTGGTGAGTGTTTCAACCGAAGCCTGGAGCGGGTGACCTTGCCATCGAAACTTCAAAACTTGAGTTTTGGCGAGTGTTTCAACCAAAGCCTGGAGCGGGTGACCTTGCCATCGAGTCTTCAAAACTTGAGTTTTGGTGCTGGCTTCAACCAAAGCCTGGAGCGGGTGACCTTGCCATCGAGTCTTCAAAACTTGAGTTTTGGTGCTGGCTTTAACCAAAGCCTGGAGCGGGTGTCCTTGCCATCGAGTCTTCAAAGCTTTGGTGCTCCTAGTGGCGATTTGTATGTCCTTGTCAGTTCTACCGGTTGCGTTTAGTTTGTTTGACACGTCCCTCAACAGATATCGAGGCAAAAGAGGTGTGCGTTTGTCAATTGAGGCAGACGATCCCGGGCTGTTGGAGACGACACACACCTTCTTTTTTTGCCTTCAGTCAGTGAATGTTGGATAGAATTGGATGGAACAAAACAATATGGACAAGTAATGAAAATTAATGACAATTCATGAACATTTATGACAAAATATCATATGTCATAACATGGGAATTCTTGGGATAATATTGGGATTGATGTGATACCATGGGACATATTATAGGGTTACTGTCGGAAATTCTGAGATGGTCAGTTGGAAGAATGAACATCCACTGAAATCCTCAAAGGGGGTGTTCCAGTGAGCGATTCATCGCTAAGTTGGTGAACATAACTCCAAGTTCACTTGGGTTTAAAGGTTCAAAGGTTCAAAGGTTTAAAGGTTTAAAGATGTTTAAAGTATATAGATATATCTTATATCATCTACTACTATAACATATATATATATATATACACGTAATGGGTGGTTATAAACACCCTTCAAATCACTGGGCGGTCACCACCTGGCATTTTTTGCCGTGAGACTGGTCTATGTAGGGCTTTCCAGTTGGGGACGTGGTTTGACCTTGGACATCGATCCGCCATTGGGAAGCTGGGATGACAGTGATACAAAATTTAAAGATTCACCTATCATGTGGGCCCCACCCCCCAGTTATGAGTTGGTTTTTCAGTTGGTTTATAAACCCCATCAATACTATAAAGTTGTAAGTTATAAGTATCATACACCATAGTTATTGGAGTGATTTTGCACCAACTTAGCTATCGTAAACAGGGCCCCACATTGTATCACCCGTCCCATGTTCAAATGGATAGAGAAACTGTGTCGCCGAGTCGACGAAGGGTTTCAGTGCAGACCCTCACGAAGTGCTTCTGCTCTCCGACCCAACTGTGTTTCTTTGCTCCACTATGAATCCAATTATCTCTAGTCTAGTGAAATAAACAGAAACCTATCAAACTTGGGCCCTTTCCGGTATAGCAACCCCTAACAAGATGCACAAGAGCATATACAAAAGCATGTTCCTACCAACAAGGAGTGGTACATCGATTCTTTTCTGCATCTTTACTGTGTAATCATCATTTTCCCTGATAAGATTGACCCCCCTGATGACCCCTGAAGGAAGTGGCCGCACTGCCTGCGGAGCCTGTAGGGCCACAGGCGCCGCTTGTAGCTGCGCCTCGTGTTGAGCAGGAGATCGGTTCCGATCGATCGTTGTGGGTGTTGAATGTGGAGGTAACCACCATTGATAAACAAAAAGCACTGCAACACATCGATTCATTCGATTCTGACTTCAGGCTAAGCTCGGGTTTTAGAGTTTGGTGTTTTAGAGTCCGACAACACAGGTTGTCGCAAGAGCCTGGCGGAATGAGGAGAGGCACCCTAAGTGGTGCCCGGGACGCTGCACCCCTGCACCGGGGGTGCGGTTCATCACTAAACGAAGCGACACGCGAGGTTGGACTGATTTGGCTCTTCGGATCCTCAAAGATGTGTTTATTTATACTTATCACTTAATTATTCATTGTTTAATCTATCAACTGATCGATCTACCTATCCTTCTATCTATTTATGTATCTGTCTGTCTGCCTGTCTGTTTGTCTGTCTAGCTATCTATTTATCTATCTGATTGCCTATCTATCTTTCTTTCTTAAGTAGTTGTTCTTTCTGCCCACCTATACCTATGTCTTAATTGTTCTATCTATTCTTCTTTCTATATATCCATCTATTTGTCTCATTCTATGTCCCTATCTCTGTTTTTTACTTGTTTATTTGCGGTTCCTCTGTCTATTTTTTTTCAGATATACACTGTATTCCTTCATCCTAGCTCATCGTTTTCCGTTGATAACTGCAGGAAGACTTAAACAACACGCGATATTTGTTGTTCTTTACTTTTTCTGGCCGCTTTAGGCAAAAGTGTATGTGTGATGTGATGTGCTGTGATGTGATGTGATTGTGATTTACTGTGATTTGATGTGATTGTGATTTATTATTGTGATGTGATGTGATTGTGAATGTGATTGTGATTGTGATTGTGATTGTGATGTTATATTATGTATGTATGCGTATATATATAATTATATACACTGTATAATCTATATATATATATACATGTATATTAAGATATTTTAAGTTATTATATATTATATATATATCAAATGATTATATAGCAAGTGGGATGCCACCATATTTGGGGTGCCCCAATCGCTGCTCGCCAAGCTTGCCCCTTGCAGGAACCACGAACGCCTCCTGCATGGGCAGGCACTCTGGCGCAGAGACGTCTGGAAACTCAGCTTCTGCATGGTGCTTATCCAACTTATAGGTTGGTTATGAACCAATTAAACATACTTATGCTAAAATGGGGGATCCCCCAAACCATGGTTTTCAATACGAAAATGATCTACTGACTTGTATGATTTGGGGGTACGCCCTTGGATTGGAAACCTCAATGTGGGTTTTGCCAGCAAACGTGATGATTTCACATGTAGCATTGTGATTTTACATGGAAACATTTGGATACTCTACCATATTCTACCAACATACATTGACCATTGTGGTGATTTTCCCTGCACACATGGAATTGTAAACGCCACACTTGGGAATTTGACCCGCGAAATATCAGTACACCAACGGATGAATGGTTGATACTTGGTGGTGTTTCCTACACAGGTTAGTTGGTGATATAGCTGACGTTCGGCAACCGGATAACGTCCACATACATCCACAATAGACTCTATAGACAATATCTGCTGTTTGGTTATCATAATGTGGTTAAGTTATAGATGTAAAAAAAAGGACCTGGTACTACCGTACTGGTTCATTGGGGATCATAACCCGAATTGGTAGGGATACATCGGAAAACCAACCACTGGTTGGTGCTTAGGAACATGATTTTTTTTCCATATATTGGGAATGTCATCATCCCAACTGACTTTGATATTTTTCAGAGGGGTAGGCTCAATCACCAACCAGACCATATCATGGGATGGCATGTTTTTTTTTCATGGCTCGTAGCGTAGTGGGGGGAAGTACCTCAAAACATTATGGTTGAAAACCCAAAATTTCTCGATTCACATTGTAATTTATGGGAGATATGCCCCACTAAACCAACATAAACCAACACTCCCATGTATAAGAATGGTCACGGTTGGATGTGCTTGTAGTTTTTGCAATTGAAAACTATGAAAACTACTGACAAGTGTATTGAAATCTCTCAGCAAGAATATTTGGTGGCCACAATCAACGGTTATTTCTCGACGCAACAGGATATTCAAAACATTGGATGGTTCTTACACAACATGATTAAGATCTGAGGTACCATGGGCCTTAGAGTTTCATGACGAATCTGGTTGTGGGGATATATAACGAATATAGCCAAACATAGCAGACAAAAGCAAGAATGGGAGAATGGGTAGGTTGGTGGGTATGTGATGAATGAATAACAGTCATGGCAAATTATGAACTTATGCAATTCGTTTGGTGTGTAGAAGCACATGCGGATTCTCTCTATTTGGCAGATAATCCTAAAAAATACATCACATAAATCTCGAACATGTCTATTTTCCAAAATTCAACGCAAAGATCCTGTTCCAAAGATGTGGGAATTTCCTGAAATAGGTTCCACTTTCAAATTATACTACTGAATATATCTTTATAATATATATATATATATATATTATACAATTTTATACATATTTCTTGAGTTGGGGCTTGCCATTTTGTTGGAATTTGCAGATTTTTATTTGGTTGAACTATAATGATGTCACCTCATAGATTATGGTTAGTAAGGGTAACTACACCAAAATCATCTTGTTTCAGCTAGGCGAACTATCTTTATTTAAGGGCTGACGCCCCTCGTCGGCTCCGCCGGATTTCTCGACCCTCCATTTCATCGCAGTGTGGGCTTGAAAGCTTTTGGATGGGGACCTGCTTCAGAAATATAGTCCTTATGTTTTTTGAAAAAAGTTCATCGAATAGGAACTTTGTTGGAAATAGACGGCTTTTTTGGGGAGCAAGTGAGTTCCCGAAAGCTCCTGCCAAGGGTTTTTCCCGAAGAACTGCTGCCAATTTCAACTTGTTACTTCGTGTAAAGGCGCCTCTGTGCAAAGACTTCTCTGTGTAAAAGCTTTTGTGTGTAAAAGTTTCTGTGTGTAAAAACCACTTTGTGTAAAGACTTCTTTGTGTAAAAGCTTCTGTGTGTGAAAGCTTCTCTGTGTGAAACGTCTGTGTAAAGATTTCACTGTGTGTAAAAGCTTCCGTGTGTAAAAACTTTCTGTGTAAAGTGTAAAGGCTTCTCTGTGTAAAAGCTTCTGTGTGTAAACGCGTCTGTGTGTGAAAGCTATATATCTGTGTAGAGACTTCTTTGTGTAACAGCTTCTGTGTGTAAAGGCTCCTAGACGTTTGTGTGCAAAAGCTCCTTAGAGTAAAGACTTCTCTGTGTAAAACCTTCTGTGTGTAAAAAGCTCCTTTGTGTAAAGACTTCTCTGTGTAAAAGCCCCTGTGTGTGTAAATGCTTTTGTGTGTAAAAGCTCCTCTGTGTAAAGGCTTCTCTGTGTAAAAGCTTCTGTGTGCAAACGCGTCTGTGTGTAAAAACTCTCTCTGTCAGGCCTTCTTCGTGTAAAAAGTTCTGTGTGAAAAAGCTCCTAGACGTTTGTGTGCAAAAGCTCCTTGGAGTAAAGACTTCTCTGTGTAAAACCTTCTGTGTGTAATAATCTCCTTTGTGTAAGGACTTCTCTGTGTAAAAGCCCCTGTGTGTGTAAAAGCTTGCTGTGTGTAAATGCTTTTGTGTGTAAAAGCTCCTCTGGGTGAAGGCTTCTCTGTGTAAAAGCTTCTGTGTGCAAACGCGTCTGTGTGTAAAAACTCTCTCTGTCAGGCCTTCTTCGTGTAACAGTTCTGTGTGAAAAAGCTCCTAGACGTTTGTGTGCAAAAGCTCCTTAGAGTAAAGACTTCTCTGTGTAAAACCTTCTGTGTGTAAAAAGCTCCTTTGTGTAAAGACTTCTCTGTGTAAAAGCCCCTGTGTGTGTAAAAGCTTGCTGTGTGCAAATGCTTTTGTGTGTAAAAGCTCCTCTGTGTAAAGGCTTCTCTGTGTAAAAGCTTCTATGTGCAAACGCGTCTGTGTGTAAAAACTCTCTCTGTCAGGCCTTTTTCGTGTAAAAAGTTCTGTGTGAAAAAGCTCCTAGACGTTTGTGTGCAAAAGCTCCTTAGAGTAAAGACTTCTCTGTGTAAAACCTTCTGTGTGTAAAAAGCTCCTTTGTGTAAGGACTTCTCTGTGTAAAAGCCCCTGTGTGTGTAAAAGCTTGCTGTGTGTAAATGCTTTTGTGTGTAAAAGCTCCTTTGTGTGAAGGCTTCTCTGTGTAAAAGCTTCTGTGTGCAAACGCGTCTGTGTGTAAAAAGCCTTCTGTGTAAAGACTTCTTTGTGTAACAGCTTCTGTGTGTAAAGGCTCCTAGATGTTTGTGTGCAAAAGCTCCTTAGAGTAAAGACTTCTCTGTGTAAAACCTTCTGTGTGTAAAAAGCTCCTTTGTGTAAAGACTTCTCTGTGTAAAAGCCCCTGTATGTGTAAAAGCTTCTGTGCGACTCCTCCATCCAGCTTTCTTTCGGGTCACGCTGTCGTCCAGTTTCAATCTGCAACATTGTTTCTTGTGGAAGAATGCAAAGAACAGGTGAAAGCATCGCAGGTTCAAAAATTGAACATAAACAGCGCACCAAGTGCTGTAATTTACAGCATTTTGCGCTGTCAGATGGCAAGAACCCGCGTAAATACCACAGTTTTAGTCTCCGAAAGTGGCTAAAACACTGTTATTTGCAGGGTTTCGTTCACGTCACGATCTTCGATTTTTTGAAAAACGCGTAAATACCAGCGTTTTTTGCGTTCATCAAGGCAAAAAATCGGTTCAGAAAGGGAAGAAAATGCTGTAATTTACAGGGGTTTGGCGCCGCCACGGGCAAAAAACTGCGTAAATACCAGCGTTTCGGCGTCCAAAAGTGGCCAAAACACCGCTATTTACAGTGTTTCGTGCCTTCCACGTTTTCTTGAAATTGCAAAAACACTGTGAATACCAGCAGTTTTTGCGATCAACCCACCAAAAATGCTGTAATTTACAGTGTTTTTTTGCTTGGCTTTCAAAAACATTGGTATTTGCGGTGTTTTGTGCATCTTGGGTCCAAAAAGTATTGGTATTTACAGCATTTTCTGCGTTTTTGCATGGCTCCCGCAAAAGACGTTAAAACGCAAAAATGCTGTAATTTACAGCATTTTGTGACTTTCGAAAAGCGAAAAATCGTCCGAAAAATGTGTCAAAACGGCGCTTTTTTCCGATTTTAGGTACCCTCCAAACGGGGGGGGGGGCCTTTTGCTCTTGGAGACGCTTATGAGCGACCCGGATTCCGGCCAAAAAGCTCTCCCCCACCCTCCTGAAGGATTTTTGGTGTTTTTCGGGGCCCGGCGTCGGAGGGTCGGCGGTTTGGGGCGCGCCTCACCTTAGAGCTCTAGTCGCTCTGGGACGCTCGTGACGCATTTGTCAGCGTACTCGTGTGGAGCCGGCGGAGCCGAATTTCAGGCAGATACTGTAGTCGCTGAAAAACAATCATCTGCCACTTATCCCCATGTGGTTGGAATCCACATCACATTTAAAAAGGTAAAATCCGAAAAACCATTGGTTTCCATGGCAAACTCAGGTGACGAATTGGATGCCCACCTGGGTCTAACGACCTCACAGTGGGGGCCCAAAACTGTGGAAATCCACGGGAATCTACTGAAATCTAGGCATAAGCCTCGGAAACGATATCCAAGTTGATGTACATACCTTGGTTAACTAGTGTTTGTGGGGGATCATATATAAGTATATATATATATACTGGTCATGGGGTTTATAATCCAACTTATCACTGGGGAGCCTCAGCTTATAGTGTTATGATCCCCCGAAGCAAATTTAAGGGACGGGTCATGTCACCCGGACAGGGCTGATGTTCATCCCAATCGCACTGTCCCTGCGCTTGGATCCCTAAGGGGACTCAGGCGTTTCACTGCAGTTTCACTGGCAAATTACAGCTGACTACTTGCAAGTGGAAGACAGTTTGGGTGGCCAGCAGTTCAATGGCTTGAACCATGAGTCGGGGCATGATCTCCAGGTGATAGCCTAGATCATCCATTGGTCGAAGGAAGTTGGGAAGCAATCTTCCGAGTTACGGATGACTTTTACTCAATAAAGGGTGGTGTGAGACTTTACATCACGTAACAATACATTCATAAATGGCGGTTTGAGACTTTACATCACACAACAATACATTCATGAAGGGCGGTTTGAGACTTTACATCACATAACAATGCAGTCATGAAGGGCGGTGTGAGACTTTACATCACATAACAATACATTCATGAAGGGCAGCGTGAGACTTTACATCACATAACAATACATTCATGAAGGGCGGTGTGAGACTCTATATCACATAACAATACATTCATGAAGGGCGGTTTGAGACTTTACATCACATAAAACAATACATTCATGAAGGGCGGTTTGAGACTTTACATCACATAGCAATACATTCATGAAGGGCAGTGTGAGACTTTACATCACATAACAATACATTCATGAAGGGCAGTGTGAGACTTTACATCACATAACAGTACATTCATGAAGGGCGGTGTGAGACTTTACATCACATAACAATACATTCATGAAGGGCGGTGTCAGACTTTACATCACATAACAATACATTCATGAAGAGCAGTGTGAGACTTTACATCACATAACAGTGCATTCATGAAGGGCGGTGTGAGACTTTACATCACATAACAATACATTCATGAAGGGCGGTGTAAGACTTTACATCACATAACAATACATTCATGAAGGGCAGTGTGAGACTTTACATCACATAACAATACATTCATGAAGGGGAGTGTGAGACTTTACATCACATAGCAATTAATTCATGAAGGGCGGTGTGAGACTTTACATCACATAACAATACATTCATGAAGGGCGGTGTGAGACTTTACATCACATAACAATACATTCATAAATGGCGGTGTGAGACTTTACATCACATAGCTATTTTTCAGAAGGGCGGTGTGAGACTTTACATCACATAACAATACATTCATGAAGGGCAGCGTGAGACTTTACATCACATAACAATACATTCATGAAGGCTGTGTGAGACTCTATATCACATAACAATACATTCATGAAGGGCGGTTTGAGACTTTACATCACATAAAACAATACATTCATGAAGGGCAGCGTGAGACTTTACATCACATAGCAATGCATTTAAGAAGGGCGGTTTTAGACCTTACATCACATAACAATGCATTCATGAAGGGCGGTGTAAGACTTTACATCACATAACAATACATTCATGAAGGGCAGTGTGGACTTTACATCACTTAACAGTTCATTCATGATGGGCGGTGTGGGACTTTACATCACATAACAATACATTCAAAAAGGGCGGTGTGAGACTTTACATCACATAACAATATATTCATGAACGGCGGCGTGAGACTTTACATCACATAACGATACATTCATGAAGGGCAGTGTAAGACTTTACATCGCATAACAGTGCATTCATGAAGGGCGGTGTGAGACTTTACATCACATAACAATACATTCATGAAGGGCAGTGTAAGACTTTACATCACATAACAATACATTCATGAAGGGCAGTGTGAGACTTTAAATCACATAACAGTGCATTCATGAAGGGAGGTGCGAGACTTTACATCACATAACAATACATTCATAAAGGGCGGTGGGAGACTTTACATCACATAGCAATTAATTCATGAAGGGCGGTGTGAGACTTTACATCACATAACAATACATTCATGAAGGGCGGTGTAAGACTTTACATCACATAACAATACATTCATGAAGGGCGGTGTGAGACTTTACATCACATAACAATACATTCATGAAGGGCGGTGTGGGACTTTACATCACATAACAATACATTCAAAAAGGGCGGTGTGAGACTTTACATCACATAACAATATATTCATGAACGGCGGCGTGAGACTTTACATCACATAACGATACATTCATGAAGGGCAGTGTAAGACTTTACATCACATAACAGTGCATTCATGAAGGGCGGTGTGAGACTTTACATCACATAACAATACATTCATGAAGGGCAGTGTAAGGCTTTACATCACATAACAATACATTCATGAAGGGCAGTGTGAGACTTTACATCACATAACAATTTATAACAATACATTCATGAAGGGGAGTGTGAGACTTTACATCACATAGCAATGCATTTAAGAAGGGCGGCTTTAGACTTTACATCACATAACAATGCATTCATGACGGGCGGTGTGAGACTTTACATCACATAACAATACATTCATGAAGGGCGGTGTGAGACTTTACATCACATAACAATACATTCATAAATGGCGGTGTGAGACTTTACATCACATAGCTATTTTTCAGAAGGGCGGTGTGAGACTTTACATCACATAACAATACATTCATAAAGGGCTGTGGGAGACTCTATATCACATAACAATACATTCATGAAGGGCGGTTTGAGACTTTACATCACATAAAACAATACATTCATGAAGGGCGGTTTGAGACTTTACATCACATAGCAATGCATTTAAGAAGGGCGGTTTTAGACTTTACGTCATATAACAATGCAATCATGAAGGGCGGTGTGAGACTTTACATCACACAACAATACATTCATGAAGGGCAGTGTGGACTTTACATCACTTAACAGTTCATTCATGAAGGGCGGTGTGGGACTTTACATCACATAACAATACATTCAAAAAGGGCGGTGTGAGACTTTACATCACATAACAATACATTCATGAAGTGTAAGACTTTACATCACACAACAATACATTCATGAAGGGCAGTGTGGACTTTACATCACTTAACAGTTCATTCATGAAGGGCGGTGTGGGACTTTACATCACATAACAATACATTCAAAAAGGGCGGTGTGAGACTTTACATCACATAACAATACATTCATGAACGGCGGCGTGAGACTTTACATCACATAACGATACATTCATGAAGGGCAGTGTAAGACTTTACATCACATAACGAACAATACATTCATTTAGGGTGGTGCTCCGAAACGCATTGTAATGGCTGCATGAATGTTGCATGGGGCTTGTGTTGGGGAGGAAGCCGGAGCACGAAACCGTGCGTTTTTCCGTGTAAAGTGGCTTCGGCCGGCGGTGAAAGGTACCTCGTGCGGCGGGTGCGGCTGTGGTCGTTTCATCGTCGAATCGGTTCTCCCTTGGTGTTCTGCATCGTGTGGTTGTTCATGTGTGTGTAGTGCGATGCGTTTCATGAATCTGTGGTTGCAGATCGCATTGGGATGGCTGCATGATTGTTGACATCTTGTGTTGCCATGCGCGTAGATACATGCAGTTTTGCCACGTGATGCTAGAAAACGCATTGTAATGGCTGCATGAATGTTGTTTCGTGCGTTTTTCCGTGTAAAGTGGCTTCGGCCGGCGATGAAAGGTACCTCGTGCGGCGGGTGTGGCTGCGGTCGTTTCATCGTCGAATCGGTTCTCCCTTGGTGTTCTGCAACGTGTGGTTGTTCATGTGTGCGTAGTTCTATTCGTTTCTTGAATCTGCGGTTTCGGATCGCATTGGGATGGCTGCATGATTGTTGTCGTTTTGGATGTGCAATCGCGCAAAGTATTTCTGTTGCGTTTTACAAGTCTATCTCGATATCGCATTGTAATTGCTGCGTCAAGGTTGCTTAGTGCCGCGGCTGCATGCGTAATACTAGTGTCTTTTGCACCTGGACATTGTAAACCATATTGGAGTGCCTGCATTAAGGCTGCGATAGTGGTTTGTCAGCAGATTTTCTCAAGTTTGGCGTTTGTGATTTTCCTTTAAAAATTCATTAAAAGTGCTTCAAATATTGTTTGTTTTTCGCTTTGGCGCCGGGATCCGGTTTATGAGCCGCCATTTCTTTTGCCATTATCTACCAGAAAGTTTCTCTGTGTAAAACTTCTTTGTATAAAAGCTTTCTTGTGTGCAAGCTTTGTAGTACAAAGTTGTACTGGGAAGTACTTTGTGCAAGCTTGGTAATACAAAGTAGAACTGGGGAGTGTTTTGTGCAAGGTTTGTGGTACAAAGTTGTACTGGGAAGTACTTTGTGCAAGCTTTGTAGCAAAAGCTATTACTGGGAAGTACTTTGTGCAAGCTTTGTAGTACAAAGTAGTACTGGGAATTACTTTGCGTAAGCGTTGTAATTACTACAGGGAATTATTTTCTGCAAGCTTTGAAGTACAAAGTAGTGCTGGGAATGACTTTGTGCAAGGTTTGTAGTACAAAGTAGTACTGGGAATGACTTTGTGCAAGCTTTGTAGTACAAAGTAGTACTGGGAAGTGCTTTGTGCAAGCTTTGTAGTACAAAGTAGTACTGGGAAGTGCTTTGTGCAAGCTTTGTATTACAAAGTAGTACTGAGGAGTACTTTGTGCAAGCCTTGTAGTACAAAGTAGTACTGGGAAGTGCTTTGTGCAAGCTTTGTAGCACAAAGTAGTACTGGGGACTGTTTTGTGCAAGGTTTGTAGTCCACAGTAGTGCTGGGAATGACTTTGTGCAAGGTTTGTAGTACACAGTAGTGCTGGGAATGACTTTGTGCAAGCTTTGTAGTACAAAGTAGTACTGGGAAGTGCTTTGTGCAAGCTTTGTATTACAAAGTAGTACTGAGGAGTACTTTGTGCAAGCGGTGTAGTACGCAGTAGTGCTGGGAATGACTTTGTGCAAGCTTTGTAGCACAAAGTAGTACTGGGACGTGCTTTGTGCAAGCTTTGTAGTACAAAGTAGTACTGGGAAGTGCTTTGTGCAAACTTTGTAGTACAAAGTAGTACTGGGAAGTACTTTGTGCAACTTCATAGTACAAAGTAGTACTGGGAATTACTAGTACAAAGTAGTGCTGGGACGTGCTTTGTGCAAGCTTTGGTGTACAAAGCACAGTAGTACTGGGACGTGCTTGTGCAAGCTTTGCAATACAAAGTAGTACTGGGAATTACTTTGTGCAAGCGTTGTACTACACGGAATTACTTTCTGCAAGCTTTGAAGTACAAAGTAGTACTGGGAATTACTTTGTGCAAGCTTTGTAGAACGAAGTAGTACTGGGACATTACTTTGTGCAAGCTTTGTAGTACGAAGTAGTACTGGGAAGTGCGATGTGCAAGCTTTGTAGTACAAAGTAGTGCTGGGAAGTGCTTTGTGTAAGGTTTGTAGTACAAAGTAGTACTGGGAAGTGCTTTGTGGAAGCTTTGTAGTACAAAGTAGTACTGGGAAGTGCTCCGTGCAAGTCTTGTAGTACGAAGTAGTACTGGGCAGTGATTTATGAAAGCTTAGATGACATATGAGATGAGATGAGAAGAGATGAGCTGGGATAAAGGTGAGAAGAGTTTAGATGAGATGAAGTGTGGAGTGGTAAGAGTGCAGTGTGAAGTGTGAAGTGCGGGGCGTGAAGAGTGCAGTGCGAAGAGTGAAGTGTGAAGGGTGAAGTGTGAAGCGGAGCTTAGCTTCAAGTGTGACATTTGAAACAGGACACTTCTTTCGCAGAATGCACGCAAGCACGGGCCTGGCTCACGGCGCATGCAAGTTCTATAGATGAGAAAGGTCTTGTAGCATATCCCTGAGGCAACTTCCGCCCCGCCCTGTGCGGGTACTACTGGTACGTCTGCCAAAATGTACCTCCGAAATCCCCCAATGCCAGCGTGATGGATGATTTGGGAATCCGGGAGCCTTTTAATGTCAGTCAATCATAAGCTATCGGGATTGTCATTATATTCTCAGAGTTAGATCAACAAATTGTGGCCAAGTACACGGACAAAAAGCAGCACCTTAAAGATAAACATGAACAAATTAGCTCAAAGAGCTAGGCAGTACTAATCCCACCCCGCTCATATCAAACACCCTAGATCATGGTCCCAAACATATGTAGACCCCGTACCCGCAGTCCAAGGGCAAAGGCAAAGATGGTAAGGATAGGAAGCAGAAGAAATGGACGTGCAAGGACTGCGGCGCCACTACCGCACCGTACCAGAGTGCGATGGACCAGCACAAATGGTCAAGTGAGCGATGCTTGGCCTGGCAACGTTACAATAAGTTGCCGCAGACAGAAAAGGACAAGGAGGAGAGCTGGACGGAGTGTCTGGAATATGCGCAGAGGATGCGGTTGAGTCGTCGGACAGATGTGGACGGCACGCTTGCGGATGATCGCGAGGCATCCCCCCTTGGTTGCTAAGGGGATGATTTTCCATTACAATCCAATGATATATGGTATCCCATTAAACCAACATTAAATCCTATTAAATCCCGTTACGTCCCATTAAATCCCGTTAAATCCAATTAAATCACCATTAAATTAATGCCATTAAATATTAAGTCAGCATCAAATCACCATAAAGACACATTAAATCCCATTAAATCACCATAAGAGTCGACTGTGAAACCTCGCCAGGCCGGCACGCAGCGACTTGCACCGAGCGGTCCGGGGAATGCCGGAGATTGCCGACAGGCAGCGGTGCGGTGCGGGACAGGCTATAGTTCACCCATTTATAAACCTATAAAACCATCGGGAAATGGTGATTGAAACCATAAAACCATAGTAAATTGTGTTTTAACCAACAACTAGACGACGGATGGCCCGAGAGCGTAGAGGAGCAGGGTCTTCTCTTGTTAGTATGGAGACACCATATTACAAACAATATATTAAAGATGTGTTATAGGCAGTCGAGAAGAGGAGTATCAAGACAAAATAGTAGAAGTGCAAGACAATAGTTTGCATCGCAAACACTTTTACACACAGACCCTTTTACACACAGACGCTTGTACACGCAAAAGCTTTTACACACAGAAGCTTTTACACAGACGCTTTTACACAAAGCTTTTACCCACAGAAGCTTTTACAGACAGAAGTTTTTACACACATACGCTTTTACACAGATGCTTTTACACACAGACACTTTTACACACAGACACTTTTAACAAAGACCCTTTTACACACAGGAGTTTTTACACACAGAAGCGTTTACACGCAGACGCTTTTACACACAAAAACTTTTACTCACAAGCGCTTTTACACACAGACGCGTTTACACACAGTTTTACACACAGTTTTTGGCGATCGAACCTCATTTCGCGCAAAAGGGTTTGCAGGACACATTGCAAATCGCAAATTTACCTCAGTTTTTGACGATCGAACCTCATTTCGTGCGAAAGGGTGGCGCGGGACCGGTGGAAATCGCAATTTTACCTCAGTTTTTAACGATCGAACCTCATTTCGTGCGTAAGAGTTGCGCGGGACCGGTGGAAATCGCAATTTACCTCAGTTTTTAACGATCGAACCTCATTTCGTGCGTAAGAGTTGCGCGGGACCGGTGGAAATCGCAATTTTACCGCAGTTTTTGACGATCGAACCTCATTTCGTGCGAAAGGGTTGCGCGGGACCGGTGGAAATCGCAATTTACCTCAGTTTTTGGCGATCGAACATCGTTTCGTGCGAAAAGGGTTGCGCGGGACGACTTGAACTCGCACTTTTACCTCAGTTTTTGGCGATCGAACTTCATTTCGTGCGAAAGGGTTGCGTTTCGTGCCGTCTCGTTGGCACTGCCCCTGCTCCCGCCTTCAAAAGAGAAATAGAAAAGAAGGAGAGGGCAAGAGGGGCAAGAGGGCAAGAGGGCAAGAGGGCAAGAGGAGAAGATGTGAGATGAGAAGATGTGAAGATGAGAAGATGTGAGAGGATGTGAGAAGATGTGAGAAGATGTGAGAAGATGTGAGAAGATGTGAGAAGATGTGAGAAGATGTGAGAAGATGTGAGAAGATGCCAGAAGATGTGAGAAGATGTGAGAAGATGTGAGAAGATGTGAAGATGAGAAGATGTGAGAAGATGTGAGAAGATGCGAGAAGATGTGAGAAGATGTGAGAAGATGTGAGAAGATGTGAGAAGATGTGAGAAGATGTGAGAAGATGTGAAGATGCGAAGATGAGAAGATGTGAGAAGATGTGAAGATGAGAAGATGTGAAGATGAGAAGATGTGAGAAGATGTGAGAAGATGTGAAGATGAGCAGATGAGGAGAAGATGAGAAGATGAGGAGAAGATGAGAAGATGAGGAGAAGATGTGAGGATGAGAAGATGTGAAGATGAGAAGATGTGACGATGAGAAGATGTGAAGATGAGAAGGTGTTTTACAGACCCCCACTATTGGAAGAACCCTGCGCTCAGACGCTCTCGGGAAAAATGGGAATTAACGAAATTGTTTAGCTGATTCATGATTCTGATTCATGATAGCTAAGTGGCTTACTAAGTGGTTAGTAGCTGGGTTTATTGAACTACCATTTATAAATGGGATACCCCCACGAAGAAAGGGGGCTAAGTGTCTTAACCACTTGCCGTGGGTTGACCCTCCGGTCCCATAGCCGGTCCTTGGGAGATTGTCACCAATCCGCTGGAATCAACCAAATGCTGGGATGGCCATAACCCATATATTATATATAATTATATATATATATATCATGTTTTGGCCATGGAACATATGGAAAATCACAATGTTCAATAAGTGACTCATCCATAAATGGGCACTGTTCCATAACTATGTGCAGTTACAAGAGGGTATATGTTTTTTTATTAACTCCATTAACTAATTTGAAAAATCAAAATCATCACGAAAACCTCAAAACATTACCGGAAAAATGATTTGTATACAATAGTTCACAAAGACACAACAACATTTACAAAAATAACCCAAATACCTGATTTATGACCAAACCATTGGATGAAAGTCCACGATATGGAGTTTTCTTACATTTTTTTGGGGACCCCAATGGATGGTTTCATGGAAAATCCCAATCTAAAATGGATGCCCTCATTTGATCAATGGCCATTTCAGGATCCGATTGATTGGAGGTACTTTCCATATACAAGGCCTATTTGATCAATGGCCTTAATTTCAGGGAATATCCCCACAATATATGGCCTGAAAAATGGTAGAGTACCTCCAATTTAGGACCTTGAAATTCCCATTGATTTGATAAACATATGAATTTCATCTACTTTCGTGGGTTATTTCCTCTTACACAACGGATGAAACTGGGTCGTTTTTTTTGACACCAGGCTGACCAGGTTTTTATGGATTGGTTTGGCCTGATTTGGCCTGATTTGGATGACCAAAATGGGTGATTTTGTGACAGAAACTGGTGTTCCTTAGTTTTTTTGTTGTTGGTGTATTACTCATCTAATGTAGGTGTTTTTTATTGGGACAATACAAATAACTGGAATAAACCCAACAGTTCCCCTTGTGAACGAAACCAACAGTTCGCTAACGTTTCCAATCTTTTTCGGTGAAGGTCACCACTCGTTGTGAGGCTAACAGAACGATGGGCACGGAAGACTGTCCGGGGAACTCAGCTCAGGTGTTTCAGTTAGACCAACGACTTGGGCATGGTTCAACTGCTGAAATGTTTTGAATTGTGGTACATATTGGATATTATTATTATTGGATCATATTGGTGTATTAATGATCCAATAATAATAATAACCAATAATATTATAATGGATCATTATTGGATACTTATCATACATATTGTATTACTAAGTTTGGCTGGATAAGAAATCATCCAGATAATGGTGACCACCTTGGACATCCTCAGTATTTTCTTGGGGATCACTCGAGGCGTTTGCAGATTTTAGCTCTTGTTTTGGTCGTACGTTTTTGCTCCCAGTTCATATTATGTGTGTATATATATATATATATGCACAGCTCTCTCTATCCGTTGCGTGTTTTTGCCGGGAACTTGGGTATCCAAAGTTTGCTCGGTTTGCTTTGATGTCAGTCTGGTTGGTGGTTTGGAACATTTTTTATATGTTCCATATATTGGGAATAATAATCCCAACTGACTAATATTTTTCGGAGGGGTTGAAACCCCATGTCAATTACATAAAATTTGCATAAGCTTTGAGAATGGCTTCCGCTTGAGGCCTGTTGCGAAGCGCAGTATAGCGCAGTTTCGCTTGCGAATCCAGCTTTCTTTAGTTATTTTAACCATGTTGCCATGATGTCACGTTTAAAAGAATGATTAGTATGGATGGATATCCCAAATTGGCTTTGAACATTTTAGGTGAGTGAATTGAGCTTAGCTCGGTATATTATGGATGTATCCAATTTTGGCCCAAGGTAAGAAAGGCCTGTCTCTTCACACATTGTTATGACTACTTTTGGGATAGGGTTGCTCAACAATCAACCCCTTTTTTGAATGAAAGCTACCCTGGTGTCAACATGGACAAACCACAGTTTCTCCTTCAGAAATCATCTATACATGGTCAATCTGTATTTGCACCCCATGTAAAACATAGCTGTATCATAGATGTATCTGACAGCATTGCGGCTCAGTATAAAAGGCGCTGGGTCGCTAGCTTAACGGTTTCTTCCCCTGTTTAGGTTTATCAGTCCATTTGGGTATAACTAGGTTAACCCTTGCTGAAACCTGAAAATACAGGTTATCAGCCGTAGTCTCTAAAGCCATGGAACGGACAACTGGAGACGCTTCAGGTGGAGGTGCCCTTGTCCCTGCTTCAGGAACGCTGGCGACTGCATCAACTGGGTCTCAGCCGGTAACGGCTGGGGCAACACCCACGCCCATGTCGGTAGATGAAGGTTTCTTCACACAACCCGTCCAGGCGTATTTTCAGTTTGTGCAGAACAATCTTACCTACATCAACGAAGGTAACATTGACGCTTTCAGGCAAGAGGCAGAGGAGAGGCACACACATCTCATGGAACAAAAGGTCCAGCAACTGTACCAAGAGTTTGAGGGAATTTGCCTTAGCGAAATCGCCCATCAACGTGCAGAAGCTGATCGCAGACATGAACACCTAGTGTCAGAGTATTCAATGTCCCAAACGGCAACTGAGCATGAGGTAGCAAAACTGAGACAGGAACTTAGCGATGCAAACGCAAAGCTGAAGAATGCTGTAAATGCAGTTGCACTGGAAGCTGAACAAAGAGCCAACCAAAAGGTAGCCCACGTTACAGCCCAGTACGAACAAAGGTTTTCTGAACTCAGAGGTAGCCTCGAGGCAGACTGTAAACGAATCGTGGACGAAACAGTGGAGTATGCAAAGAATGGCATGGAAGGTTTCAAGAAGGAGGAACAAGCTGTAATCCAGGAGATTAGAGAGGAATGCAGTAGGCAGGAAAACCAAGCTGCTGAACTCAACTTCCAATTGCAGGGACAAGTGGAGGATTTGATGGAGAAGCTCAACAAGTACAGCGCCCCGGAAATCAATGTCGACAGAGCCGTCGAAGTTGATGATTCACAAGGCGGGAACAATGTCGATTTGTACATGACCCCAAAATCAGCGGTCGGTACTAAGGCTGGAGCAGAACCCATGCCAAACACTGGTATGAGTAGCTTAGCCATGGACGCCAAGGAAAGGTTGAGCAACTTGTTCTCAACAACCCCTGCCGGATCAGCAGCCCCTCCAAAACTGCCACCATTGCCAGTTCAAAGACAAAATGATGATGATGCAAACCAAGAACATAGTGTGCCCAGTCCTACAGTAATAGCAAGCGACCCTGGCAAGAAAGCGGCTGAGGCAGGCTTAGGTCTTTCAGGTCAACAATTGCTAGATCTCATCACCAGACTGACTTCAAAGGATTCAGATGGTGAAAAGCCCCGAACAAAAGAGGCAGAGACTATCAAACTGAACGACATGCCTGCCCCAGAAGCATATCGTCACTGGCGTAATCATGTCAGGGACGAAGTCAAGTCGTGCTCCGACAAACCCGACGAGGCTTGGCTTTGGCTCAATGAAGTCTTTGACAACAAAACCCCTAGGGAAAAGTTGGAGGAAAAGCTGCAGGAACCTGGGAAATTTATCACACTTGACACCAAATTGTCGGCAGCGTTAACTCGCTCGGCCAAAGGTGATTTAGCAACGAAGATCCATAACTTCAAAGATGAGAAGTCAAAGAAAGGGATCCAAGTCAGAGGTAGGAGAGTCCTTTTGATGTTTGAAGATTACTTCAGGACGTCTGAGGAAGCTGGCAGTCTCTACCGCGTCGAGGACCTACTTGGAGTCGTTCGCACTGGAGAATCTGTGGAGGACCTTAGAAGGTTTCTGAACCGATGGGACGCCACAATTGCCGGCATGGAAACCCCGCCAGATGATTTGGTTCTCAGAGACATCTTACTCAGACAAATCCGAAAATGTCAATTGATGAAGTATGACATCGAAGCATTTGACAGAGCTCCTGAAAAGTCAGAACAAAAGTCTTATGCATTCTTGTTGAGAAACATTCGTGATCTTTTGGATAGAGAAAGACTCCGTTCAAACAGAAACAGAATCGTTGAAAAGAACAAGCAGACCGAAAAGCCTCAGCCCGCTGCACCCGCTCAGGGGGGCAAAGATCGCGGCAAAGGAAAGGGCGACCGAGGTCGAACCCGTGGTCGTAGCCAGAGCGGAAAAGGGGATAAAATATGCTACAAGTTCAGGGATGGCAAGTGCGAAAAGGGTAAAGACTGTCCCTACAAGCATGTCAAAGATTCCTCAAGATCTGGTACCCCCAAAAGGAAGGGTAAGGGCAAAGGTGGTAGCAGAAGTGGTTCCCCCAACAGAAAGTCAAAGGAAGAGATGGCCAAGATCCCATGCACTTACTTCCAACAGGGCAAATGTCGTCGTGGTGACAAGTGTTTTTATAAACATGAAGTTGCAGCTGCACCCACAAAGGATCCAAAACGCACCAATAGCCCTGCACCAAAGAAGAAGGCCAGTGCAAAAGCTGCGCCATGCATTACTCAAAGGTATGCATGCATAGCAAAGGGAAAAGGGTTGCCGAAAGCTACAAAGGCCATGAAAGAACAATGCCATAGAGCTATTGTGTTTTCATCAAAAGTGGAATACATCAAAGTCCCGGCAACAGGTGAACAGAGAAAGGTAGTGCACAGACCCCGAATCTATGAGAAGACGTTCCCTGATTCAGAGTCAGTGCCAAAACCCGACAAACTCATCGCTCACCGTGCTCAGGTTTCGGCCCGACAGTTGCAGGAACTTGTGAAGCTCTTCGGCAGTGAGACGCAGCCCAAATGCCGATTCCGATGCAATGACCCAGAAGGGGGAGTATCATGCAACCACTGTAGAGCAATGATCGGTCCCAAAAACAAAGTCAGTAACACTCATTTGCCCACTGTTGCTACACCGGCATCAAAAGATGGATGTGTTTGGTTGGTTGACACGGGCAGTGAACAGGATTTGATTAGTGAGGGTATGCTGAAGACCGCAAAGGCGACAAACCGCCGTGTCAGCGATACCCCAATCAGCCTTGCTACAGCGAACGGTTCGACACGAGCGGATGAGGTGGCCGACGTAAAGGTCGATGCCCTACATCAGCCATTTTCACCATACATTCTCGAGGAAACTCCTGCTGTTCTTTCGGTTGGGGTCAGATGTATGGAACAGGGTTACAGTTTTGTGTGGCCAGCTGATGGGAGGCCTTACTTCATTCGTCCGGACATGGGAGTCATCGAGCTTAATGTAGACGGCCGGGTGCCGGTTATTGACAGCTCTTGTCGTGTTTTGAACAGTGGACAGTTCAAGAAAGATTGTGATCTGTTACGTCTTTTTGCAATGGTTGCTGCAAAAGCAGAAGGTGCCGAGGAAGAAGGCGTGGATGAGGGAGTAGCTCATGATAGTGAAACCGAGTACGTCAGGTCTAGAAAGGCATCAGACCTTGAGCAAGAGGCATGCAGCAAATCTCACCAGTTTTGCCATTACCCCAAGAATCCATTTTGCAAAATCTGTCAGAAGGCGCGCATGATGGCGCCACCCGCAAAGAAGAAAGGGGGACAGAAAAGGTTGGAAACCAAAAGCTTTGGGGATCACATTGTCGCTGACCATACTGTAATCAAATCCAATGTGGAAGAAGGCGTCAAAGGTGAAACAGTGGCATTGGTGATGAAGGACATTCACACTCAGTTCAGACACGTCTATCCAAGCCAGACCAAATCGAGTGAGTCATGTGTTAACGCATTCAACCACTTCTTATCTCACAAGGATGAAGTTGGGGCAGTTTACACTGACAATTCACGAGAGCTTATTGCTACAATTTCAGAGTTGGGGTACAGACATCAAACATCAACAGAGTATGTGGACAGTTCAAAGTCGTTTGTGGAGAGGGAGATCAGGCACATGCTTGAAGGCACGCGCACAAACCTTGTGCAGTCAGGTCTTCCATTGCAGTATTGGCCAATGGCTATGCAGCATTTCTCCATGGCAGTGAATGCCACGCCACAGCTCAACGGTGATGATGCCCCATGGAAACTCAGATTCGATGAAGATTTTCCAGGCCAGTTGATTCCTTTCGGTGCAAAGATACTGTTTTGGAACAATCCAAA